TAAGGCAAGCATTTCGACTCACTGCATGCTCCCATCATTACCAGCGAGCGCTGTCAACAGAGGCTCAAAACAAATCATTATGATGAGGCGATGGCTCAGCAGTTTAGATCACTGGCTGTTCTTGCAGAGGAACTGGGTTCAAGTCCAAGCACCCATGTAGCAGCTAACTAACCACCTATAACTCCAGTTCCAAAGGAACCGATGCCCTATCCTGACCTCCACAGTGGGCACAGGCACATGTGTGACAAACATACATGCAGACAAAACATTTCTATACAAAAACTATTTCTTAAAAAAGAAAATGGTACCCTCAACCATGGCCTGGAACCTGAGTCAAGCCAAGCATACTGATACCTACCTGTAATTCCAGCAGTTGGGAGGCTGAGACAGGAGGATCATGAATTGGAAGCCACTCTGTGTGTAATGAATTTAAGCTCAGTCTAAGATACAAGTTAGATTCTGGCTCAAAGGGGGTGGTGGATACAAAGAGCCAAAATACATTTTTTTCTTTGTAAGTCCAGCATTTCAAGTAATCTGTTATAGTAACAAATTTTGTGTGTTCCTTAAAAAAAATTTTTTTCTTTAGTGGCCTTGGTGGCTCACACCTGCAATCCCAGCACTTGGATCACAGTTGAAGGCTAGCCTTGGTTACATTGTGAAACCCTGTCTCAAGAGAAAAACAAAGTGGGGAAGAGGAGGGAGCTCAATGGGCAAAGGTGTCTGCTGTCAAACCTGACAGCCTAAGATCAATCCCTAGGACCCACATATGGGAAAGGAGACCCAACTCCCACAGGCTGCTTCTGAACTCTCTGTGCACGCTGTGCCGCGCCCACCCCTACTCCACCCCCATACGCAGAATAAATAAATACACTAGAAAAAAACTAATCTACACCATTAATATTTCAAACTGGTAGTCTGATCAAGCAGACTCAGGTTTCCAAAGATGTGGCACTTTTAAGAAGAGCAAAAAAAAAATCAAGAAGAGATTTGTTACCTTTCCTACTGCAAGACGACTCCTGGGAGGAAACCTCTATCCATGGCCGGGACTGCCAAGCTTAGCGGGACACAGATAACTAAGAAAAACTGTTAAGATGACAAAGGTGCCCCAAACCAGTGGTCCAGTGTTGTGGAATATTCCTTTACACTCTGTGAGGATGTGTCACTGTGATTGGTTTAAGAATAAGCTAAACAGCCAATAGCTGGACAGGAGGTATAGGTGAGACATCTGGACAGACAGAACTCTAAGAAGAAGAGAGGCAGATCACCAGCCAGATAGAGTGAGCAGGATGGGGAATCCAGAGTAAAGGTAACCAAACCACATAAAAGAACACAGATTAAAAAATATATATGGGTTAATTTAAGTTATAAGAACTAGTTGAGAACAAGCCTAAGCTAAGGCCAAGCTTTCATAACTAATAAGAAGTCTCCATGTCATTTTTTGTTAGCTAGCGCCCAAAGAAACATCCATCTACACCAAAGAGATTATAGAAAAGAAATAAACAGATGAGATGTGCAGAAACCTGGGAGAGTCTGGCCTTCTGATGGCACAACACCTTCCCTGGAGAAGATGTAAACCACTCTACCCCCTTCCTAATGTTCCAGTGACAAAACGGTACCATTCCACCAGTGTGCGTTCTGGGAAACCAATGAATTTATTAGGCTTCCTTACAGAGCAAAGAAGTGAGACTATAGGCAGAATCATGGATGGCTTGAAAGCAGCCACACTGGAAGGGCTGCACCCCGCAAAGACAACATCTTCCCAATGGTCATATCTCCTTGTACTCCCCCGCAGTGTAAACAAGCCCCCTCCCTGAGCCCCAAGACCTTGTGCAATGAGGGCAGAACCGTATACAACTGGTTGGGAAGAAGCTGCAAGTGGCTGGATGCTCCAGGGTGGGTCCCATGACCCTCTCAACTCTTCTTCTATGATGTTAGGTCAAGGGTCAACAAGCTCAGCTATAATCTTTGCGTGTGGGCACAGCTGTTCTAGTGAAGACAGTGGTAGTTTGCCTAGAAGGATATTTATATATGCCCTCCACACAGACAAGTGAGGGAACAACACAGCATGCCATGGAGATCCAAGGAGAAGACATTGCTTCTCCAGCTTCATGTGGGCGTGTCCAACCTGCTGGAAGGCATCAACTCAACAAAAGGACACCACACCCTCATTCCTGCCATCAGGAAACATAGGCCACCTAGCAAGGGAAGCGCCTTACATCCCAAAACTAGCTGAGTCTTTTCAAGGAAGTGAAGACGTCTGTCTCAGTCGCTCCTGGGCTGCCACAGAGACTCAAGGTCATTCCGAATTAAAACCTGGTCTCAGGACAAGGAACAGAAGCAGCACTTGCTAGAGAGATAGTCTCCTGGGTGACTCACAGCATGTCAGCCTGGAAGAAGCATTCCTTTGAGATACTCAAGGCTCTGTTAAGGGAGAAAATCAAATATCATGGTCCCTCCGCAGCCAATAAAGCACTTCAACTTCAGAAAGATGCCCTTTGAGGCTCTGTGAGTCTGAATTTCAAGGTCACGGTTGGGAGAGTCTGGTTCTAAAGACTTGCTCATTCTATATCCTTTCCGAGGTTACCAGTGGAGAACAAAGTAGAAGACACCATGTCCAGAATGCATAGAGGGACAAATTAAAACATAGTTATCATTATATTGTAACAGTGGTAACTGACAGAAATCCAGAACCACCTAGGAGGCAGCTTCTGGGAGCTTCTGGGCATGTCTGTGAAGGAATATCTGCCTGTATTAATTGAGAGTGGAAAGAGCCATGGGCAGCAGCACTTCGCAGTCCCAAGTCTCAGACTGAACAAACAAGAAGACACAAGTTCTAACCCCAGCATCCATCTTTGTTTCCTCACTGTGCTGAGCCACCTCATTCTACCACCGCATCTTCTCTGCCATGGTGAATGTATCTCACACTGTGAGCCCACACAACCCCTTCCTGAAGTCGCTTCTGTGGGCAGGTCCTGTCACAGGATCAAGACAAGCCACCAATATAGTGACCATTTCCCCTTTTCTCCAACTTTGTGTGTGTGTGTGTGTGTGTATGTACACATACATGTGCACGTGTGCGTATACATACATGTATGTGTGCAATGTGCTGTGGTACCCATGTAGCCAGAGGATAACTTTTCTGGGTTCAGTTCTTCTACCATGTGGGTCCCAGAGATGGAACACAGGCTGTGAGACCTGGCAGCAAGCACCCTTACCCCCCTCAGTCACCTGGGCAGCTCTTCCCTCCCCCAACTCCCCTTCGGCGCTGGTGAACACACACAGGGCCTGTTACCCCAACCCCATGACCATACTCCTTAGTAACAGATATATTTGTCAAGTACTCCAGTGTAGTGCCATATACACTGTAAAGTGCTTTTTAAATCCCTTGTCTTACCCAATCCTCATAATAACCCCGTAGGATAAGTGCTATAATTTCCTTCCCCTACTTTACAGATAAACCGAAGACTCGAGCATAAATGACTCAGGTCTGCACAGTTAGCAAATGGGGCACTAGGTCTCTAAACCAAGTTCAAGTCCTTGACCACTAAGCCCCATGCCTATCTCCCATAGAGGAAATTACTTGTTTCCTTCTGCGTTCACTGCGCAGACAAGGCAGTCTGAAAGCCTTCAGGTTCCCCCCAGGCTCACCACGTTACCGAGGGATACAGTCAGGCTGCTGGCCGGCTGGCTCAGACACAGGTGCACCCGGGGATCAAGCCTCAGGCCTCCATTATGCCGTGTTCATTACACAGGAAGACTCCGAGGTCATGCTTTCAAATCCCAACCCTTTCCTCATTATCTGCCCCCAGCATCAGCGTTCTTCCAAGTCCTGTATTGACTCGCTTCGCTCCTGGCTGCCGGCCCATCTCCATTAGATCCCAGGCATTTGAGTAAAGTACACAGCTATCCAGTTCTGACTGAACGGAATTGACTCGCCATCCCTCCTCTATAATTTTGGGCAGAGTCTGAGAGGATTTAGAAGGTGTCATTGACTTGGAATTACAGTTCATTGTTACAGAATGAATTTCCGGACTCTGCTGAAGAAAGCTGGGCACCCCCCACACACACACACACACACATACACAAGCAGCTTTGTTCCCATCAAAGTGTCCCTCTAATTGCACCATGCACATTCGCTTAGGACTGTGCCGATTCTCAAGGCAGAGCTGTATCAAAGGAAACTCGGTTTCCCATGGTGCATCGCGTCTGCGCCTTCACGTGGGCATTGATCTCGGCCGTGCATTCTCGCTTCCGCTACTGTTACTATTTACTTCAAACTCTTTGCAGGCCTTTGTCTGATACAGGGCGGCCAAGTCTTGCAGGCTATTTTGCATAGCATCAAGCTAGGCTCTTCACCCTGCTGAGGTGACATAAATGGTCACAGACTGACCGGGTTGATAGCTGACTGACTGTACTTTCCATATTACACATCTGTCACTTGCCCAGAGTGAATTCACGCTTCTAGATATGGGCACTCATTAGAAGGAGGGACTTGGGGGAAAGTCCTAACTAAGCCTGTGGAGATCTTGGAGCAGATGGTGCTGAGTTAAAAACAAAACAAAAACCATAACATTATGGCTTCAGCCTCAGAAGATGTAACAATAAAACCCACTCCCGAGGTCAGCCTAAGCCGCTAATCCCCCCAGCACAGCTGGAAACACAAAAGCTCCTTCCAGCTCAGGCCCCCAACTCACCTGGTGGGACAACAGACAAGACAAAGTCCCCTTCTTCAGCTGCCCTGCTACCTCTTGCCCCATCTCCCAAACCACTTAAGGAGAATATTAGGGGTGTTCAAACTTGCCAGAAAAATTGAAAAAAACTGTACAATTTTCTTACAATGACTATAACAATGAAAAGAAAGACATAAAAAAAGAAACACCACAAACTTCACACACTTTGGTGATCCCAGCTAGAAAAAGCAAGGCATTTTCTCCAAGTATAATTTTTTAATAAAACTGTTAAAATTTTTAGTTTTTAAAATTTACATTTATTCTGTGTGTGTGCAGGCAAAGGACAACCTGAAAGGGCTGGTTCTCTCTCTCCACCTTGTGTGTGGGTCTGGGGATCAGACTCAGACTGGGCCATCTCATAGACTCAAAACTTTTTTAACTTCTAGGTGCTAACAGAGTGCTCAAATTGTTATCAGTCTTTCCTGCCCAGCACTCAGGAGGCAGAGGCAGGTGTATCTCTGAGTTCCAGGCCAGCCTGATCGACTAGTAAAAGGCTAGTCAGATGCACAATGAGACTCTGTCTCAAAATAATAAAAATGTATTTTTCACCAGAGCTGACTGTGATTGTGGCCACCTCCAACCCCAGCCCACAGGAAACAGAAGTGATGAGGTGGAGAGTTTGAGGCTGACCTGGGCTACGCAGTAAGACACAAATCCTGGGTGACAGTCTCTCTGACCAAAGCCTTCACCAAAGGCGCCCTGCAGTTGTAGTTTGGCTATCTGGCACTCTCTCCGGATGTCTTCTGCATGGCTGGCTAATTTGACCACCACAGTCTCTAACTGGCCTTCTAGCAGAATCTCCCCAAACCACACAGTAGGAAATAAAGCAATACCGAAAGGTCAGCCCCAGGACATGGCAAAGTTCAGAAGGGAACACGGCCTGGTCCAGATTTCCTCCCCTTCACATTAAAAATGAGGCTGAAGTCATAGTGAGAGATGAGCAAGACACTGGGGTGTCACTGCTTAGCAAGGGGACAGTAATGCACTCTCCATTTTTCTAAAAATCTAGAGGAGGAGCCAGGCAGTGGTGGTGCACGTGTACAGGGGGAGCCAGGTGGTGGTGGTGCACGTGTACAGGGGGAGCCAGGCGGTGGTGGTGCACGTGTACAGGGGAAGCCAGGCGGTGGTGGTGCATGTGTACAGGGGGAGCCAGGCGGTGGTGGTGCATGTGTACAGGGGGATCCAGGAGGTTGTGGTGCACACGTAGAGGGGGAGCCAGGCGGTGGTGGTGCACGCATAGAGGGGAAGATAGGTGGTGGTGGGGGAGTCAGACGGTGGCGGTGCATGCAGTTAACCCCAGCACCCGGAAATCACAGGCAGGTGGATCCTTGTGAGTTAGAGGGGAGCCTCGTCTACAGAGCGAGTTCCGGGACAGCCAGGACTACAAATAAATAAATAAGGAAGGAAGGAAGGAGGGGAGGGAAGAGAGGTTGGCCACAATCATACAACTGGGACCCAGAAACTGAAGATTAAAGGAGCAGAGCTTAAATGTGGGTTGGTGGGACATTAGGCTCCACATTCAATGCTCAGATTCAAAACAAACACACACGGGGCGGGAGGGGGGGGAGGGGATGGGTTACTAGGTAAAGTGAGCGGGACACTCAGGCGCTGGCCAGACAGGGCACCAAGCAAATGTGTGATAGGGAATGCACCCTGTCCTTGGCTGAGATCTCAAGAGAAGTCAGCCTTCTCTTGATGCCGGCATAGCTTCCACTTTTAAATGCAGGCTCGGAAGTTTGAGGGGCAATAATCGGGCCCTACCATGAACAGTGTGAACCCTCAAGTTCAGCCAGTTCTTTAACCTCAGGTTTTCGTTGTTTTTACAAACGACTTTGGGTATCTTATTTAATCTTTTCATGTTTCATGTTTCCCATCTGGAATAAAAAAAGATATTTTGCTTCCAGGACTATTGTAAAGATAAAAAAGGGGGCGGGGAGACGTGCCCCCAGATTCTGGGGTCTGCAGGGTTCCCATTCAAGCAGGAGCCGCCAATCCGGGCCTCAAGCAGCTAAGCAGGAACATGGGATTCTAACACTGGTTCACAGTGGAACTACAGTCAGGCCCCCACCCCATGCCATTTGGCTGGGGTAGACAGAAAGCAGCCAAACACACCAACCAGGGCACTGTAAGAATCTCCTTGTGATGAGAAAGCATGGCATAGTCTTGTGTCATGGTGATCTGAAGGAGACCGGAAGACCTACACACAGGCTGAGGACTGCCCACCCCAGGCTTCGAAGAGAAAACACACCAGCCAGAAGGCCAGAAGGCCACTGTTACAGTGAACAGAGGAACAGTGTGGGGAGAGAGAGAGAGAGAGAGAGAGAGAGAGAGAGAGAGAGAGAGAATGGTTCAAACCCTATGGACAGAGGCAGAAGCCAGGAAGAAGAGGAAGGGAGTGGGCCGAGATGGTAAGGGAGCTGACCCTTTGGCCAGCAGCAACACACAGGAAGGCCAGCCTGGTACTTTGTCTGGGCAGCACAGCAGAGATGACCCTGTTGATGAAAGCACAGGTGAGCCAACCCTTAGGACAGGAGTGTGGGAGACCTAGCCCCACCCCTCATCTGACACATGGCTGCGGTCCTGGCAAGGTGCAGGGCCTGCTCTCCAGAATGTTGCAGCTGGTGGGGGGCAGGAGAGAGATCCCCCAGTTAACACATGGGGCAGGAGGGCCACCCACCAGCTGCAAGAGCAGACTGTCTACCTCACCAGGACATCACCATGGAGCCAACATGGTTAGCACAGGTCCGAAACTGTGACCATGGAAAAGCTGTCCCCATTTCCATCTGGCCGACCAACCCTACAGCTGAACAAGCCCAGACCCAGGGTGATGATTTGGCCTGCCCCAACATCCACCCCATCTATGATCTGCTGGAGCACATGAAGGAACCTGACCCTCAGACCCGAAGCTGCAGGATCTCCACAGCACAGGATACCAGTGGGATGTCCAGGAAGAATCCTAGTGGGGGCCATTCATCAATTATGTAGTGGAGACCAGGGGCCTCGGACCAGGATCAGATCAATGGCCCTTTGCAATGAACACTTGCAAGTAGAGATGGATGGACCAAGGGGTATACAGTGTGACTTGTTGGGTCACATTGCAGCTTCCATGAAGAGATTTTTAATTCCTTCCTTTTTTTTATTTTTCTCATTTTATTTTCTTCCTTTTTTTTCTCTTGAATTTTGTTTTATTCAAGTGGGGGGAGTTCAGGGGCAGAGGGCAGATTCAAAGGGATTCATTCCCTAATGAATGGGATCAAAATACATGATGTAAAAAAACACCTAGGATAAATAAACTTTATTTTAAAAAAGAATTTAAAAACACACATAAAGCTAGGCGGCGGTGGTACACGCCTTTAATCCCAGCACTCGGGAGGCAGAGGCAGGCTGATCTCTGTGAGTTGAGGCCAGCCTGGTCTACAAGAGTTAGTTCCAGGACAGCCACCAAAGCTACAGAGAAACCTTGTCTCAAACAACAACAACAACAACAACACATAAATGTGTGTGTGTGTGTGTGTGTGTGTGTGTGTGTGTGTGTTGAACAGTGTCTAGCACATGGAAACACTATACGTTTTGGTTTTTTAACTATTACCATCTGTGGTGGCTTGAACAAGAATAGCTCCCACAGGCGCATATATTTCATATATTTGAATGCTTGGTCATTAGTGATTAGCACCCCTTGGGAGGGATTAGGAGGTATGGCCTTACTGAAGAAGTAGGTGTGGCCTTGTTGGAGGAAGTGTGTGAAATTGAGGTTTCAAAAGCCCAAGTCAGGCCCAGGATATCCATCTCTTCCTGTTGCCTGCGGATTGGGCAACTCTCAACTTCTTCAAAACCATGTCTGCTTGCAGGCAACCAAGCTCCCTGCCATGACGACAGACTAAACCTCTGAAACTGTAGGTGAGCATTCCCTTCTAAGAGCTGCCATGATCACAGCGTCTCTTTGCAACAGGACAGACTAAGACATCACTACTACTTTGCAAGTTCTCAACCTTGTGGTCTCAGCCCTTTTGGGGCCCCGATGACCCTTTCACAGGGGTCACATATCAGATATCCTGGATATCAGATATTTACATTATGATTCATAACAGTAGCAAAATTACTGTTATGAAGTAGCAACAAAATGATATTCTGACTGGGTGTCGCCACAACATGAGGAGCTGTATGAAAGGGTCGCAGCATTAGGAAGGTTGAGAACCACTGGGGTAGAACAAAAGATGCTTCTTTTCAGAGGGTTCCACCTAAATACCACACTGAAACTACATCAGCCTGGGCTACAGTCACAGGACAGTGTATCTCAGTCCCCCTAGCTGTGAAGATCAGGTAAGAAATTCGTGTCCAGCTTCCAGCAACCAGACCCACATGAGATGCTAGGTACTCTTCAAGGCATGCCCATGGCCACTCTCCTCCCCTCTCACTCCCTCCCTCCCTCTCTCTGCTTTCCTCCCTCCCCCTCCCTCCTCTCTCACATGCACATGCATGCACACACGGGCACTCACCCTGGAGATTTTCTTCCAGGCAGATAGAGAAGCTCAGGATGCCTTCTTAGTCAGCACTTTTGGTCAGAGACATTCTGGGCACAAAGAAATCGGGAGAAAAGTCTGACTCTGTTTGGAAATTCCCAGTGTTTTGGGCCTTAGGGCTACCGTGATAGTAGCTGGGCTATGGGTTCCTTACGGTTAGCGATGGCTGGGTATTTTCATAGCGAGTCAGGCAACCCAGAGCTGAAGGGTTATCTGAGAGGCCCTGGCTTTCTGAGCGGATGCAGCTGTACAAAGACCAAACTGGTCCCTTGTTCTGTGATTGTTTCTCACCAGTCCATGCAAGCCCCCTATCCTTCCACATACTGCAAAGCATTGCCTCAGGCCCTTCCTCCAGTTCCTACTGAGCTACCACTTATACATCTGCTAGCACTTAACAACAGGAGGCTTAATTAAAAGGAGGAAAAAAAAAAGGGAGAGAGAAGGCGGAGGGAGACAGTGACTAGGAAATGGAATTGTATCTCCAATCTGTATTAAACTCTTCCTTTCCGCGTTTGACTCCTTTAATCTACCCTAATTTCTTCCAGCTGCTGGGCTGTCCCTCCCCCGAGAAGCAACAACAACAAAAACAAACAGGAATCACTGTCTTTGGGGCCCTTGGCATTTATACCTCTCAATCATTCGATAATACAGATGTAACTAAACCACTTCTGAGGGTGATGAGGAACCCACAGTCAAAAAGGGAGGTTATGAATCTTCCCAAGCCAGCCAGTCCATGGTGGCGCATGCCTTTAATCTCAACACTTGGGAGGCAGAGGCAGGTGGATCTCGTGTGTTCAATACTATACTATATATATATATATATACTATGTACAGAGTTCTAAGTTTCTTTGGTTTCTCAAAAACCAACCAAACAAAAAATCTTGCCCAAGATCACACAGTTTATAGCTGATAAAGCCAGGAGTCAGGAGGAATCCATGCCTCCAAAGCTCATCAGCCACCTTTACCATCTGCCTGAAACTGGACTTTTCTAGTGCGGACCCTGGGCTGGAAGTCATGGGAAGGAAACCTCAGTCTACAGCCTCTGACTTAGTGGACACTGCGTCTTGCTTCCTTGGACTTAAGTCTCTGTGCCCTCCACCTCTAAAATGATATTCGAAGGTAAAAACAAGACCAGAAAGGTGAAAGTGACATTTTTTATGGAAGATGCTACCAAAATCCACAATGGCATAATCAGCCTAAGAATCGCGTTTTTCAAGACGTCTGAAATGCATTTACACAGTAAACTTTCCCGTCAGATGTGTTTTCCTCATTTCCATGGTGCTTTTTAAATTACAGAAGCAAAGCAAGCTCATATCGAACAGACAAGTCCACCACATAAGAATGAAAGCAAAGCTTCCTCCAGCGTGTTCTAATGCCCCAGTCTTTCTGGGTCTTAGGGATTGTTGTTGTTTTTGATTCTCCCCTTCTGAGGACAAGAACTCCACCACTGAGCTACACCCACAGTTCTAGGTTTTCTTAAGAATACATCAATGCTGGACGGTGGTGGCACATGCCTTTAATCCCAGCACTCAAGAGGCAGAGGCAGGCGGATTTCTGTGAGATCGAGGCCAGCCTGGTTCACAGAGCCAGTTCCAGGACAGGTTCCAAAACTACAGAAAAAGCCTGTCTCGGAAGGAAAAAAAAAAGAATATATCAATACAGTGTGTGTGTGTGTGTGTGTGTGTGCTCCCAAGTGTGCACCAGATGTCTGCCCACTTGTAACTGGGCACGCAGAAGCTGAGGCAAGAGACTGGTAGCAGTTCTAGGCCAGCTGGACTTCATAACAAGGATTTCTCAAATACAAAACAAACACTGCACATATCCATATCTATACATTTTTGTTTCTTGAAATCAGAATCTTATTCTGTAGGAATTTTGGGTTGGTTTTGTCATTTTCTAATATTGGGGACAAAATCCACAGCTTCACTCATTCTAGGTTGAACACCCCACAGTCTTGCCATAGTCCATAGTTTTAAAACTTCTCATTTTGGACTGGAGAGATGGTTCATTGGCTAAGAGCACAGGCTGCTCTTGCAGAGGACCCAGGTTCAATTCCTAACACTCAGATGGTAATTCACACTGCCTGTAACTCCAGTTCCAGGGGATCTGACACCCTCACACAGACATACATGCAGGCAAAACACCAATGCACATAAAATAAATCTTTTTTAAAAAACCAGCTCATTTTGCTCAGTGTTACATTTATTTATGTATCTCCACACTGATCTGCGCATAGCCATCTGTCTTCTAAACTAACACAAGCAACTGCATTATATGCATGGATTGAGATCTACTTACCCAGTTTCCTGTCGAAGAACATTTGGCTCATGACTCTTTGATGTTGTAATTCCACGGACTATGTTAAGAATCGCTAAAGGCGGTCTATGAGGAAAAAGAGAAAATATTTGTCACTTGTGTCTCTGGTCAGAGGTTAATTTCCAAAACATGTAAGGAACTTCCATAATGCAATAACAACAACAACAAGAAGAAATAATAGTCCAATATAAAAGCAGACATTTCTCTAATGGAGACACACCAATAGCCAACAGCTATGTGCAAAGATGCTTGAATAGGTGAGTGTGGCGGCCTACACCTTCAACCCTAGCACTTGGGAGGTAAAGGCAAGAGGACCCCAAATTTGAGACCAGTTTGAGCTGCACATAGAGACTCTATGAGGATGAGGAGGGGGAGAGGAAGGAAAAGGGGTAGAAGGAGAAGGAGGAAGAGAGGAGGAGGAAGCAGCAGCAGAAGCCACTGCCTTACCAGAGCCAATCAGCAGAGCTATTATAAAGCAACAGAAAACAGCAAGTAGATGGGAAGCTGCACTGCTGGTGAGAATGATAGTAGGCCATGGAAAACGGCATGGGAATGCTAAGATCTTAAAGCTAGAACTACCCTTTTTTCCAACAACCCCACTGCTTGGGATAAATCTAAAGGCACTGCAAATGGGATCTTGGCCTGGCAAGATGGCTCAAGAGGAAAAGACACCTGCTTTTGCACGAGCCTGCTCTGAGTTTGATCCTTGGAACCCATGTAAATAAAGACGAAAGGAGAGAACCAATTCCACAAATGTGCACTCTGACCTCCATACCTGCACCTTGGCACACACACACACCCCACATCACATACAGATGCATGATAGATAGATAGATAGATAGATAGATAGATAGATAGATAGATAGAT